CCAATAATTGCTTGAATTTTCTCAATAATGTTAGAAGAAGACGCCTTTCACGCGTCACGCACACGAGCTATGCAATCCTCCTCGTCTGCCTAGCAATGTTCAAACTGAAATAAATCTCCACTAGAGACCCCTTAGAGTTTCTCAGCCATGTAGCGTCCATTAGCAAATAGCAATAATCCGATATTTCTACAGATATCGTGAAAAACCTTAGTATCCAAGAAAGAACAGAGCCAGATCTGATAAACAATCAAGACATTCCCTATAGAATGAGTATACGTCCCTCCATAATGCCAAGTGAACCAGCCCGAATAAGGTTTACAATCATATAAACCATTACACTGAAGAAGAGCACAAAACCGGCCTAAAATGGGCCTAAAATAAGGTTTACAATCATCTGATGTAACTACTCTTTTCTATTTTATTCAGGTTTCACTTGAGAAAACAACATTAGTAGACTTACGACCGATAAACCGGCCTGAAGAACGAATTGTCGTAGCATTATTTAAACCACAAATGACTAACATTGATACCGATGTATTACATGATAGCTTGCCGTTGATACTTTTTTTCGTCAACAAAAATAATTTTATATATTAAATTAAATTAATAAAATTAAAAAAGAAAAACCCCACCCACTCAACGGCTGTATATTTAATAAATAATATAATATTTTGTTTAATAATATAAGTTGTATGTTTTTTTAAATTAATAATTTAAAAATAATAAAAAATCGGTACTCGATTACCCGAATTGCTGACACTCGTAAAATCGGGTACCCGCAACATCCGGGTTGGGACACAAGCCGGCCAATCAACTACCCGAAGACCCAAGTATTCGGATTTAAACAACCCCTAGGTGTGCAGCCAGAATCGATCCAAATTAATCAAAGAGAAATCTTTGGAAGCAACAAAAAAAAACTTAATTATTTATTTTAATATTTTACGCATGATTAACTAATAATATACAAACAAAAATTATTTCCCTAATCATTTTACATCGGGACAAAATTTTCTTAAATTTAAAATGAATTTAATTTGATTAATTTTAAAACTTTTTATCAAATTCGATTCAATTAATAATTTAAAAATAATCTTCTCGGATTGAACCTCATCGATTATGGAATTTTTTTTTTCATTCCAAATATAAACCATTCAATCTCACTATATCTAAGGAGAGAGTCGAGTATTGGGTATAAAGTTTCCATTGATCAATATTTAGGCAAAAAAAAACTAAAACATTAACCAATATAGTTGGTTCAGGGGGTAAATTGTTTGATATCGCTTAAACAATATCTCGAGTTTGAGTCATTGTATATGCAGAAAATCCCCGCCGGGAGACTACCCCACCATTGTTAGGTGTGCAACGCGGATTGATCCGGATTAATCAGGACGAAACCTTAAAACAGGGAGGACAACAAAAAAAACTAAAAAATTATTATACATTATTATAATATATATATATATATATATATAGCTTAACCGGAAAAAGCTAGAACTTAACAGCTTCTGTGCACGTCTGCTTGAAGAACAGCATCCATCTCTCCCGGTGGTTGCACCAGCTCGGTAATGCCTATAGGACGACCACGACTCAACCTTGCCAAGATATCGCATCACATGCGTCAACTCAGTAGATCAATTGTCGTAACCGTCCTTCGAGTGGTCTCGGAATCGGGTTCCGACTAAAATTGATTTGTTAGAGCCGTCACCGATCATTTTAAATTAGGTTGATCGGACATCTTAACTTACATTTTATCTTATCTACGTTTTACTAGAAGTTTGTCGGATTCGGGAGTCGATTACAGTCAGGGAAGGATTAGCACTCATGTACTGCCCTTTCAGTATCAATTTGATTTCTCGGTTGTCTTAATTGCGAAAATTAAAAGTCAAATTAAAATTTAAAAGTTCGATCCGAATTATTTAACTTTGACAGATTTAAAATTGTCCTAAAAATAAACCAAATTAATATTAAAAATTAAATAAATAAAAGAATAAAAAGAAAGTTTTAAATTAAAATGATTAAATTGAAAAAGAACTAAAAACCAAGGATTAAATTGATATTAATTAAAAGCTGTAAGAAAAAAATAAGAAGTTAGGGGGTTAAATTGCAAAATATAAAAAATATAACAAGGATTAAATTGAATTAATTCAAAATTGAAGGATAAATTTACAATAAGTGATCAAAATGAATTTCACATCAAAATAACAGGGACTATGGAAATAATTTAAATTTTTCTTAATTGCACTTCGATCCCTACTATAAATACCCAAAATTAGAAAAAAAATCATTCATCACGTATTTCAACAAAAAGAACTCTCCCTCACTCTCAAAATTCCCTCAACCATTTCCCCCAACCGGCCATAGGCCGGCCACACTCCGACGAAGTCCCACCGTCCCAACCATCTCTCTAGCCACTGCCTTCGGTAGCCAGAAAATCTAAACACCCCCAAAATGCTCCTCTCGCTATCCCAAAATTGATAATATGCTAATCATAAATATAATTAAATATAATATTAATGTAATAATAATAATAAATATAATATAATATATACTATAATATGTACATAAATAATATACTATGATAATATAATATATAATATTAATATAATAATAATAATATATACTATATATATACACTAATTAATATAATATAATATATAATATATATATCATATTATTAATATATATACTATATAACATACTATATAATAATAATATACTATAACATATATAATACGTGATATAATACTAATATAGTACATATTATACATACTATATATATAATATATATAATATATATCATATATTATATAAACATTGTAATATATGCTATATAATATACCAAAATAATATATATAACATAGAGTATATAAAAAAGAAACCGAACGAAAATGAACGTCTACATCAATCTCGGTGCTTCAGAACATGAATCGCATCAACTAAAGCACTCCCCCCTAACGCCTCAACCAAATCTTCATCACTTCCACACTATCTGTTCCAATCATAACCTGTCGGAACCCAAGATTCCATGTAGATTGCAGAATATCTTGCAAAGCCCACAGCTCGGACGCAAGCACTGAACAGCGCCCGACGCTTTTCGAATATATTATAATATTTTTAATCTCTTAATTTTATAAATTTAGTTATTTTAATTCTCGACTTTTATTAGATTCCTCTTGACCCTCAAATATGTCATATTAACCTAAATGTCATAATATAATAATAATTATCTAAACTATTTTGTCATTGTTATCACTTCATAAAAATTTTAAGAAAAAATATTTAATCTAAATCTATTAAAATGCTAATATCAAATTTTAAATAATTTAACAAAATATTTAAAAAATAAAATTATAAATTTAAGAAAGAAAAAAATTTGGTCCCTTAAAGAACCCGAGGGTCAAAGCTTTACAAGGGTGCAATAGAGACGCAAGCAAGCGCAGGAAAGGGATAGAGTCATAGAGATGAGAAGGAACGGATAGTGGCGCCACGATTCGATGATAAAGAAGCCAATAGAATAGCATTAGGCATTTTGCCAACAATTCAATATTCCCACTTGCCCCCCTTCGTTGATCTTATCAACTACTCACCCTAAACTACAGCCCCACCCCATACCCCCAATCCTTCATAACCCTAAACTACAACAAACACATACATCCACCCATCTAATCTAAGATCTAATCTTTAAACTTTTCTTTAATTAAAATGATAAAAAAATATTTCTCGAATCAAATTAGATTTAGGTAATGAATATATGTTTTCCGAATTAAATCAAACCCAATCAAATTAAATCTAAGCAACGAAGTAAAAACTCGATGCAACCCGACTCCTTAGCATCCCTAATCCAATCCTTCATCTTCTCCTCTCACCCATGCTATTTTATAGTAATTAAATCGCACAGATAAGTATCAAGAACAAAATGACTTAATTTCCTTCAAATTACAATTACATGAGAAGGAACAAGGGATTTAGAGCCATTGATAAAAACATAATATATTACACAAAAGTCTCTCAAATCCTCTCTTCAAAACGATTTTAACAAAAGAAAAAGGAATCCCCTGACAAGAGTGAGAGCAATTACCCTTATTCCTTTTCACTCTCCCACTCTGAATTTTTTTTTACAAAATCCCATCCCAGATAATCAAAAACCCGTCATCATCTCCATTTTAATTTGTGATTAATCTTTTTATATTTACAATCTAAGCGCTACCCACACTAATAACGAGTTTTGATTTTTTACTAATTTATCAGCATCTCCCCTCTCTTTTTTCTCATGTCAAAACTTTTTTGTTCTTTAAAGATGAATCCCCGGCCCACCTCCTTTGAGGGTCTTCCGTTTGTTATAATTTAAGCCACGGCGGAGATGCTGCAATTCCGGTTATCTCGGTTGAGACAATCGAACCCCTCGATTCGTACCGCCGCTGGTTGAAACCCGAATTTAATCCTCACGCACCCTCCTCCCCTTGAGGATGGAGAATAGGGCGGTGCCACCGAAGTTAGCTGTGCCATATCGTTGTTGAATCGGACATCTTGTATTAAAGGGTTCGCCGCCTACTCGGTGGGGATCCGCAGAAATACGGTGGCGATGAAGCCATTTTGTTGTGGATTCTTCTGATCCATATCCTCGCTGTATATCGATAAAAAAAACAATGAAATCAAATGAAAAGAGAAATTGAATCCCAGAAATACTCTTAAATTTTGGGGAAAATTGAATTTACCCTAGAGAGGATTAAATCGAGAAGATCCGTACCAACATCTGAATCCTCCATCTCACTCTGATAACAACAACTGAAATTTCCCACAAAATTAAAAAAATAACAAAATAAACATTAAAAAAATAAAATAAAAAGAGAGAAAATAATCAGAAGATAAAAGGAGAGGCTTACTTGGCCATTTAAAGGTACGGATAGGCTTAGGGCAAACCACAGAATCAAATCCTCTCTCTTCAACCTTCCCACGGCGTTGGTGTTCATTTATAATCTTTTAATTTTCAACTTTTTTTCAAACAAACCAAAGACCAGAACAGCAACGAGGCCTGTACAAGAACAAAATCCCAGAAAAATTAGATCCAAACAGAGGAATAAAAGAGAGAGAGAGATCTGCGTTTTTTCCCCCAGACGAACCTTAAGCTCCTCCAATGGAGGATTTAAAGGAAGAGAGATTTGTGTGGAATCAGAGAGAGAAGGAACAAATCTGGGTTGAGATTGAGAGAGGAAGTTTTCAAGCGAGGTGGAACAAAGGCATTGGACTGGGTATTCATAGAAGAAAGTGACAGCTGGCGGATTAGGGTGTGGCCGAATTTAGATTGATGTGATGTGAAATCAGTGAGTATTGGCGGACGATTTGATTTGGGCAGCCGAGGATTGTTTTGAGACAGTGTCAAAGGTGCTGAATTTAGACACGTCAAATATCAATCAATCATTTAATTCGGTTTTATCCGTCTGATGCATGCCGTTGCAATATTCTAATTATTTTCCTTAATAAAAATGATTTTTTGGGTGGATAAATGACGTTGTTCTTGAAAGCGAACGCTCCTTTCCTAATATCTTACTACAATTTATTTGGTCAAATGTTAGTTAGTCTCTATATTTATATAAGATTTATCATTTAATCCTTGCTTTTTAATCTACTCTTTTAGTTTTTACAATTTTTTAGTTTAAATTTTGCATCTTTTTCTTATATTTAATTCCTTATAGTCATTTTAAGCTTTCACATTTAAAAAATCCATCATTTAATCTTTATATATTTTTCTAAACTATTGATCTTTCTTATAAATGTTATATTATTTTTATGATATTTTTTAGTATAATAATAATTTAATAGTAACTTGCTACTTCTTTATGATAAATGTAATTATCTAACTATTAATAGTAACTTGTACTTCTTTATGATAAAAAATTTTTCCACAACCCTATATGGACGAGAAGCCTAATCTCTCGACCTATCCATGTAAAAAACTTCTCATAGACTACTAATAGAGTATTAGTAGGTTATTCATACTGTTTTTAGAACATATTAGGTTTTTTTTTATAATTATTGATATCTAATCTATTGATCGATTATTCAGATCGGACACTAGAGACAAGATAACCTCTCAATCTAATTATTCTATTTGCAATCGTCAGTATTAACTCTTAATTTTTTAAAAAGATTTAATATCTCATTCCACTAAACTATTGTCGTGAAATTAAATTCATTAAAGTGAAACTTTTGCCAAAATTTAAAGTTATAGTTAGTTCACTTAAATATTTTTGTTTAACACTTTATAAGTCCCTCTCAATTTCGAAATTAAAAAAAGTCCAACCATCTTAAAAAAATAATTTATTAATTGTATATTTTAAGAGCCCGGTTAATTTTCTTAGATTTTAAATTAATAAAGTATGGATCATGGTACTTAAATTCTAGCATAAATATATTAGGGTAAAGTACATAAATGGTCTCCATACTATAGATATTATTTTATTGAGTCCATTGACTATTACAATTACAAAATGGTCTCTTAACCATAGGAAGTTGCTTTGTTGAGTCTTTCGACTATTAAAAGTTACAAAATGATCACATGATTATTCATTATGTTCTCAACTCGTCCCTTTTCATTAAAATTTTAAAGATAGCTAAGTTGTACGCTGACGTAGATTTAGATATAAAATATAATCTCATAATCTCAAAGGACTAGCATATCTCAATAACATGCTAATATTTAGCTCATACATCGTTAATTTTTTTTAATGGAAAATGATGAGTTTAAAATATATGAATAGTCGAGTGACCATTTTGTAACTTTTAATATCGAGAGACTCAATAAAACAAGTTTATAATCAGAGGACTATTTTGTAACTTTTTAATTATCAATGAACTCGATAAAACAATATCCTATAGTCAATATACTATTTGTATGCTTTACCATTATATTACAAGTACCGTTTTCAAATTAATTAATTAATTAAACTATAGTTAAGTAATAAATAAATAAATGAGGAGCGTTCTGCGTTCAAACGGACCAGAGATTTCCACGTCATAAGTTGCGGAAAGGACGAGACATTAATAAGTAGCATTATTTTAAGCTTAATGCAACAAGTGTTTGCTTTGGTCTGAATAAAAAACAAGTATAATCACACAAAAAATAAAATTTGACGTTCCATTAAATAATTATTTTTTCTTTATTTTTTAAAATATTTTAATTTTAATATTTTATTTTATTACAAAAAGATCATTTTGTGGTATCGCTTAAGAAGGTCTTAAGTTCGAGTCCTTGTATATGCAGAAAATCCCGTCGGGAGACTCACCACCAAAACCAGCGTACAACCCAGATCGATCCAGATTAATCAAGAAGAAACATTAGAACTAAAGGACAACAAAAAAAAAAGATCATTCCGTAAATGAAAATTAATAATCAATAATAATTAATACTTTAAAATAGATATTTTTTTAAAAATAAAATATTATGGGTTAAAATACTCTAAAAATCAAAAATAAAAATTAAAGTAACTATTTTTTTATTAATTAAAGTGACTATTAAGTTAATATTAAAAAGATTATCTTAAAATGAAATATTTTGGTCACTATATATACTATCTATTTAAACTTTAGAATCATCTTTAATATTATGTATAAAAGTAAAATTATTATTAACGGAGTTAAGTGGGATAATACTAAGTCGTTTGTAATTATGAATTATTGAAATATATATATAAGGTTAAATAATAACACAAGAAAGTTTATGTATGTTATTTAAATTGATCAACGATTTTATATGTATAGGATCATATTTAGAGATAAATTTATTATTAATATCGTCAGTACAAAAATATCAAATTAGTATATTAATTGTAAGATTAATTTTTTTTACATAATATAATTAAATATTATATTTTATCAAAAAGATAAAATAAATACGAAAAATATAAAAGATGAAAATACCACTTTACAAGATCAAAATATATACATGAGCTGGTACAGTAATTTTTTTGTCCACTAAACAATTTTGATCGAATTTGAAATAACTAAAATCCAAAATATATCATGAGTGTTAATTAGAAGACAAAAAACCCCAAAATACAAAATAAATAAGGGGAATCCGTGGGGCATAGATTTCCACGTCCAATGTGGGGGAGAAGACAAAAAAATGCAACAAATTGCGAAGATGCGGACAACGAGGTTTTGGTAAAACTGGTTGAGATTAAGAATTTAAGTTTATAAAGTTAAATTCGAATTTTATTATCGTTATTTTTTGTGGGTAATTTATAAATTTTTATATAAATTTCAATTGAGTCTTAAGTTTGTTCTGATCTTGAATTGGAGAGTCACTTCTGATCTAAATTTTTTGTAAAAAAACCTTACGAAGATAAAAAGCGAAAAAGTTATTTTTAAAATAAAAACAATACAGTAATACTAATAATATGTATGAAAAAAAATAAAATATTAAATAACCCCAATTGGAGTAGCTACATGTTTATAGATTGTGTATGTATTGTCAATAGCTAATAAATATGAATAGATATTATTTTATAATCACTCAAAATAATTAAAAAATATAAAAATATATAATAAAATATCATTTTATGAAAATTAAACAAACATAAAATATTTTAGAATAATTATTACAATAAATATATAAAGGAATACAGAAATCAAGAAAATTTATATTAAAAGGCCCATGTGATTGATGAATGTATATGTAGACATCAATTTTTTCATTTAAATTTATTATTATTATTAAAATTATTATTATTATTATTAGTATTATTATAATATAATAATAATAATTATTATTATTATTATTATTATTTATTATTAATATTAATATTAATATATTATATTATTTTTAATAAATAATTACAAAACCCAGAGCCCAATAATCAGGCCCATTTTACAAGCCCAAACCAGATAGAAATCCTAAAACATTTAGGGTTTCAGTTAGGGTTTTCTAACCCTAGCCCCGTGCGACGCCGCCTCAAGGGTTTCCAGCCGCCTCTGAAGCCATTCCAGCCACGCGCCGACACTCCAGTACCACGTCACCTTGCCGCTGAAGCCTCCAGAAGCTCCACTTCCAGAACGCCAGCCGCACACGTCTTCACTCTAAGATGAGTCACCACCATAGTTTGGTGACTCATCGAGTTCACCCCTTTGTGACCGGTCTGAAGCGAACGTCGTGGTGGCCTATAAAGCCACCACCGAATCTGCAAAAGAAAAAGGAGAGCCAGGAGGAGGCAACCAACAAACAGCAAAGAAAGAAAAAAAAAAACCCGAGAACAAACGGACAACAACAAACAAAAAAAAAGAGATACAGAAAGAGCTACACCAACGATCCCAGAAAATACAAACCGAAAGAAGAGAAAAGAGACTTACCGAGGAAATCGCCGCCGTGAGAGCCTCCACGTCATCGGAGAACCGAAACGCCAAAGGTGAAAATCGTAGATCTACGATATATTATGGGATTTTAGGTTAAAATAACCTTATATTGGGCATTAGGACGGTTAGATCTACGCTTTGGGGGTATTTTGTAAATTCCGGCCACCGTTCACGGTGGCCGACGGCGGTGGCTGGTGGCCTATGGCTGTCGGTTTCCCTCCGGCGAGGGAAACTAGAGAGAAACCAGAGAGAACTCTAGTTCTCTCATTTTTGAGAGAAGATGCAAATGGGGAAGCTTGGCCCTTCGGGCCAGGCGTTTAGGGTATTTAAAACCCTCCCCAAACGACGTCGTTTTGGGGATGGTATCTGTGTAATTAAGAAATGTAAACCCTTTCCGCAACCCTTATAGGTCTGTAACTTTGCAATTTAGTCACTGAAATGACTTTTAATCATTTTAATTAGTGTTTAAATTTTATTTTATTATTTTTTAACATTAACTGTATTTATAAATCTTTAGGATAAATAATAAATTTAGTCCCTTAGGTTTTAATAATTATTATTAGTCATTAAATTAATAAATGAAAATAATAACATGTTTAGCCACTGCAATATTAAATAATTAATTACGAATTAGAGTATTTAATTTCAATATGTTATAATTTAGTCACTAATTTTAATACTTTTATTTAATTACAAGTTTATTACTTTTTATATTTAGTTTTAATTTTTTTTAATTATTGTTTAAATATTTTTAATTTTATATAATATTTAATTAGTATTATTATTTTATTTTAATATATATTATTTGATTAATTTTATAAATTAATAATGTTTATTGTTTTAATATCGAAGAAAATGATAGTCTTGATAAACTGGATGTCTTATTCTGGTATTTAAATAATTAAATATTATAATTTAATTTTTTCTTAAATTATTTTACTTTTAAATTTTTACATTTTTAGTTAT